CCCCCCCCCCCCCGCCCCGTCCCCAATCAGTCACCAAGTGTCGTCGCTCGTCGCGCGATCACGATATCAGCGCGCGCTTCGAAACGCCAAGGACCTTCATGGCGGTCAACTACCGAGTACGCGTCGCCTGCTTCGCCCATTGTTGTCATTACGCTTGGAGCCGGCGAGTTGGACGCTTCTTACGATGGAGCACGCGTTATTCGGTGCGCGCGTTATAATTCACGTCGTGTGATCGCGAATATATTCGATCCTACGCTCTCGCGTCGGCATCGCGTTTTCATCATAACTCACCGTTCTTCCTTCGGTCGAACTGTGTCGCACCTTCCGCGAGTGTCAGTGCCGGTCAGTGTAATTGACGAATTTTTTGGACGACGCGCGGCAGCCAAAACTGTCTATAATATTCCACTAGGAAGCCACGATGAAGGAAGCAAGGTGCCGAGGATGCGTAGGCAGTGATACGTCATGTATCTTCAAGTAGGTCAAATCATTCTCTAGACGGGAGATTCCTCCCGATTTTAATTGTACTTTGACGAACTCACCGAGATTATTGAGACACCCGAGTCGAAATTTAGGCCGGCTTTCGTAGTGCATTTTTATTTCACGAGTTTACAAGTTAACGATTATAATTGCATCAAATATTGAATTATTCGCCAATCTCGTACATATTTCATCCAATGAAAATTGTCGATCTAAGCGACCTAATATTGCTCGTGAAGATGATTTTCTAATTAAAGATTAGTGCCCTTAATTAAAGATTATAAATTATATGTAACTACGAATACCGGCTTTAGAGTCTAATGTAAACCTGGAAAATATTGATTTTTGCTAACAATGCTCCTCGAGCTTCAAGTCTGATCTTGTTTACATCTGTCAGCGCTTTCCTAGCCTTGTTATTCTCCAGATTTGAAATTTCAATCTCTATTTGTAAGCAGCATTGTTGGAGCACCTAACTCTGCTTATCTCTGCCTTTGCAGCTTCTTATCAGCTCTTTTAAGAGCTTCAGAACTCATCGAGACTTTCAAGAAAGTCAGAAGACGAAAAAGAGATATTGTTGAAAATAAAAACGTGTCGTGTACTTTTATATCCACTTTACTCCTATTAATATTTATTAGATTATATATATTATCTCGTACACATAAAACGAAAATTTCGACTCGGGTGGGGTGAGGCTATAAAAAATTGATATTTTGCAACACACTGCTATTTCTCTGAATAAAATCATATTGTTATCTTAACAAAATCCACTGCGATTACGAATCGCGAGCAAATATTAAGACACATCGATCGGAAGGACAGCCGTGCTTGTAACAGCTATTTCGTCGTCTGGTCTATCTATAACCTCGAGAGTAGTTTGTGAACGATAATGTGCGGGCTACCTACTACCCACGTACACGCACGACCAGGAGGAGGGAAGGGGGGGGGGGAAGGGAGTAGAGGAAGAAAAAGAAGCACGGATCGAAGGTGAATTATCGTGCGTGCCACGCTCGGCCCTATTAAATGCGGTTTGCGGAGCACTGTAATGTTACCATATTGCGGGCCGATATAATCGTAGAATTAATTGTGTAATTAACCCGCGGAGAATTGGCCGCGGATCGCGCACACATCGACAACTCGAGCGGACGATCGTCTCTCGCGTCTCTGCATCGCTTACGGGCGGGACAAGTCTCTGAAATCCGTCTTTTGATTCTCGTGCCTCGAGACCGAGACAATTCTTCCTGTCGGACGAGATATTCGCGACGTGAAAAATTTGAAATACGCACGCGACAAGGGAAGGAGAGCAACAACAAAGACGACTCGCGCCCGACTCTCTTTTCTCTTTCGACTTTCGCTCGCCGTGCGTTTCGTGCGCGCGAAGCTAATTGCTCCTCGTTTTTTTCGTCGTCATTCAGTTGCGTAACTTTTGCCCGCCGTCTAATTTTCACGATGACGTTAAGCGCGCTTACGCTTTTAGCGACTTATCGTTCCGCTAACTTCGCTTTCGGCTTTCTCTCTCTCTCTCTCTCTCTCTCTCTCTCTCTTTCTCTCTCTCTCTCTCTCTCCTCATTCTCTCCTTTTCTCTCTCTCTCTTTCTTCCGGTGCCAGAGAAAGAAAAAAAAGACAAGATCCCCGGCTGTCCCTTCTAGTCAAGATAATGCAGGTACGATAATACCTTGGTTGAGTTGAGTTGGTGCACACTATTTTCACATTTACGGTACGTCCACCTAATACCGCCTTCTAGTCTGCAACCTCTAATTCTGGTCGTCCTTAAATATATCAGGCGCGTGTCCCGTCGTCGATCGAACGCGAGCGGCCGCGTCGTGACCCCGGTTCTAAAAAGTTTCGAAGCGAAATTTTTTTTACCGCGTCAAAGTGCGGGACAAAACTTCGAGACGGTGGATTAATCGCGGCCAGCCCGGACTTGTCGATTTGAATATCATGCCCGAGCGGCGTCCTTGACGCGAGACTTGTGAACGCGATATATTCAGCACGCCGGATTACGCGGCGAGAAAAGAAAAATCATGCCATTCAGCAAGCAATTAGCGCGACGTTTGCTTTGCGGCGCAAGAATATTTGCAAGAGAAAGAGCTGTCCGGTCGCGCGAAGGCGCGCTTCGAGAACGTGTGTCCTTAATTGCGTATGTACACGCGTCATCACGGGAGACATTGCGACAAGCACCTGCTGCACCGATATATGAGAGATTATTTCCTGATAATATACTCACCATACGTCCTGACGATCGCACGTCGCTTTTTTCCACATTCCTGACACTTATTCCACTTTTAGCAAGCAAAAGACGCGGAGCGATGTCGATCGATGCGCTCATGGCGGTTGCTCGAGCCAGAGATCGATTTTGAAGATGGCCGCGTAATCAATCACGGACGCCGACAGTTCCCGCCACCACCACCATGTAGCGCTGCTAGCACGACACGCTCCATACAGCTTTCTCTCTCTCTCTCTCTCTCTCTCTCTCTCTCTCTCTCTCTCTCTCTCTCTCTCTCTCTCTCT